GAGGAGACAGGAGGTTAATATCAGAGAGGAGGAGAGGAGACAAGTGTCCAACTGTGGGAGGAGACAGGAGGTTAATATCAGAGAGGAGGAGACAAGTGTCCAACTGTGGGAGGAGACAGGAGGTTAATATCAGAGAGGAGGAGACAAGTGTCCAACTGTGGGAGGGACGAGGGAGGAGGAGAGGAGGTTATATCAGAGAGGAGGAGAGGAGACAGGAGGAGAGGAGACAAGTGTCCAACTGTGGGAGGACAGAGGAGACAGGAGGAGGTTATATCAGAGAGGAGAGAGGAGACGAGACAAGTGTCCAACTGTGGGAGGGAGGAGAGAGGAGACAGGAGGTTAATATCAGAGAGGAGGAGAGGAGACAAGTGTCCAACTGTGGGAGGGAGGAGGGAGGAGACAGGAGGTTAATATCAGAGAGGAGAGAGGAGGCAGGAGGAGAGGAGACAAGTGTCCAACAGTGGGAGGGAGGAGAGAGGAGACAGGAGGTTAATATCAGAGAGGAGGAGAGGAGACAAGTGTCCAACTGTGGGAGGAGAGGAGGTTAATATCAGAGAGGAGGAGAGGAGACAAGTGTTCATGTGTGGGAGGACAGAGGAGACAGGAGGATGTTATATCAGAGAGGAGGAGAGAGCAGACGAGATAAGTGTCCTACTGTGGGAGGAGGAGACAGGAGGTTAATATCAGAGAGGAGAGAGGAGACAAGTGTCCAACAGTGGGAGGAGGAGAGAGGAGACAGGAGGTTAATATCAGAGAGGAGACAAGTGTCCAACTGTGGGAGACAGGAGACAGGAGGAGGTTATATCAGAGAGGAGGAGAGAGGAGACGAGATAAGTGTCCTACTGTGGGAGGAGGAGAGAGTTAAAGGAGACAGGGGGAGATGAAGGAGGTCTAAGAAGTGGTGCTCACCTGCAGGTAGCAGATCTGAAGCTGGTCCTCAGCAGATTTGACCTCTGTGATGACGGAGAGAGACTTCAGGTCTCCAGAGAGACTGAGGCTGCGGCAGCTTCCTGACACCTGAGGAGAAAGAACATCTTGAAGACCATGAGCAGTTCCAACTCAGCCTTCAAAACAGGAGACGATTCAACTCTTTCAAATGTTTTGGTGGACGCCTCTTACCCCGGTCAGAGTGGCGATCTTGTACATCCCGTACGCAAACAGCTCCACGAAGCCAGAGTCTCCTCCGAGGACGAGGACGTTCAGCCTGCATGCACACAAGCACTAACATCACAATGTAGTGGCTTCAACGTTTCTAGAGACACTTCCAACACACGGTGTGATTTCAACGCACAGATCATCCAGAACCATCATCCATTTCACCATCCCTCCTTCTCAGTGTGTCTGGTGTGTGAACTGCTTACCCCCGTCTAAAGCCAACCCCTTCCCAATAAACAGACATAATGTCCCAGATCAAATGCACGCTAAAGGGTCTTTGTCTAATTCTAATCACCCTACCTGGTAATAAACCTGTTCTTTGAGCAGCTCTCAGTGATCCTGCTGTGATGTTCAATGTTTGATGTTTGTTTCTCATGTGTGTTGATGTTTGTCTGTTGATGTTACACATGGAGCTGCTGGGATGCAAGGAGCATTTCAGACTTGATCTGACCAACAAAGTATTATCGTATCTATCGTTATCGTAATATAGCAAACAGGAGACCAAGGGGTGTCAACAAATATGTTCGGGGGCGTAAACAACTAAGGTGAGTAGATGAATATTCAACACATAATATCTGTAGGCCATGTGTACTAATAGAAC